CACATTCTACCACCATACCACCACAAGTCAGCACCACCTCATCAACAGCTTCAAGTGCACCACATTCTACCACCAAACCACCACAAGTCGACACCACCAAAGATGATTCCGACCCTTCAGGTGGTACCACCAAGACACCATCTAGCAACACTGGTGCCACCACCAGCCACGCTGTTACTTCTGCCACTACGCGTGCTGACACGACAACTTCCAAGTTAACCACCAGGAAATCTGAAGACCTCACGTGCACAATATCACCAAACAGCGGAACAGCTTTAGATGCTTTTAAGATAAGCTGCTCTACCAAATCTCCTTGTTTTCACTGTTGGTATTGTTTTAGAGCTAAGGGTGGGTAATTCCAAGTTTTAAAATTGTTTTCATTACCAGATTGTATTACTGTATTGTAAACTCTGTGCCATTCTTTAACTCTACTAATGAACTCTAATTTATTATTTGAAAATTATCAGGCAAGCGCCTGCTCTGCAGTAAAGACAGTGAAGTAAAAGCTGTATACCTTCCTCGTGGAGACAGCAGTTCAAACTACAACCTGCTCATAACAGCTACTGCAAAAAACGTTCACAATTCTTTTAGCACCACTCTAACTGCACAGGTTTGTCAAAAACATACTTATATTGCTTATGACATGCTTATATTTTTCATTACACTTTTAAAGATGCAGCTACATTTTTTTAAGGTTATGGATTTCACAACAAACTCAGTGGATGCTCTCAGTACGGCTGTAGCGAACATTGTGGATCAGCTAAGAAAAGAAGGTCTTCTCTCTGGAGAATTGGTTGGAGAAATCGTCAACAACGTGGCCCAAAAACTGAACGATCAATCTGATGAATCAAGTAAAGAAGATAAGCAAAAGGTGACCTTACCCTAAAGTTGGTATCTCATTGTACTGTAAGACACAAGTTGGAAGAAAACAGGCTACCTTACCATTACAGTCCTCTGTTTTCGTCCTTTGCCTTAACAAGCAGATTTAGATTACCTTTAGCAGCTATAATTTTCTGTAATTTATGTCGGTTTTTGTTTCTCCTTGAATACCGTTGGATGCTACACAATGGTGCAAAATCCTCTGTTTTTCTTTCACAGCTCAGAGAGCAGATACTGCGCACTTTGATTGACACAATAAATGAATTTCCAACCAGCACCCCAACAGAAACCCAAGTTGTAGCCAGCGGACTCTCTTCTCTAATCATGCAAGGCGATGAACTCAGTTTGGATGCTCAGGTACTGTAAAAGACTTTATTTATTTTGCAATATTATTCTTGATTTGCAATAATAATGACAACTACACAGCAACAATAAGTAAAAATAAGTTAAGAACTTTGTTTTAATCATTTTTGTTATTGACTGACCCACCTACATAGTTGTATGTAATTTGGCGGTAAACATGTCCCACTTGCATTTGTAATATTCTCATCGCCAAAGTGATCAATGTATTTAAATTGTACATGCGTTTCTTTCTAAATATAATTTTACTTAGAAAATATGCAATTATTTCACACAGATATTGAACAGTGTCAATTTGATTATTTTTACGAGACCTGGTTCCGAGGACTGTCTTTACATCTGCTCAATAAGTTTATTCTCCCCTCCAGATTTCTGCATCCAATTTGTTCGCAAACCTCAGCTTATCTATCGTGCACATGAATGTGAGCTCAGCTGATGATAAGGAAGAAATAGTCATTGCAGCCAGCACCATTGTGAAAGGAGTGAGCGACATCCTGGAGTATTCTTCCAATGTGAGTCATCACCTTCAAAGCTCATGGAGTTTAGATTTACATCTCAAAGGGAGATTTGAATATCACTTGAGAGGCTGCACTTGCATCCGCTGCCTCAAAACCCCAAAACCATTTATATCTAATCTGTTGGTCCTTTATGTAGAATTTGTACATGCAACATTGTCTTATTTGAATGGTTTGTTGTTATTATCTTCAGCTTTTTGTGCCACTAACCGCCTAGTTTCAATTATTTTTCAGAAAGAAATCTCTGATGCTCTTCTTGATACTCTAACAAATACACAGAGCGCACTGTTGAACATAATGGATACTAACGAGGGACCAACAATAATTATACAACCCCACATTAGTTTATACGTCAATAGGTAAGTTCACTTTAGCAAGACGTTAAACAAAAAACTAAAAGCAAGATTTCACACTGTACAAGATCTACATGGGGTTTTGATTTAGTAAATAAAGACGTCAAAGTTGTAATGAAGTTAGCATCTCACTGATCTGCAAATAATTGGCAACATTCATGAGAGAATCTACCGAATGTTTTACGCCTGCCAAAGGGTTTCTTATGTGAGTTGTAGCTGTGTGTAGTACTGTTGATTGTGTTTTGAACGTGGTAAATAAAAATGTACCACAGCTTTTATCTTAAAATAGGTACAAAGATATCTTGGGCATTTCCCACCCATCTCAAGAACACTGAAGCTGTGTTCCTACACCTGCAAGGGAGATCTTTGTTGTCAGAAAGCAACAGAGACAAACGTCTAGGTCTAAAAATGACATTGATGTTAAATAATAATTTTGAAATACTGGTCCAAATATGCCAGCCTATTTTATAGTTCGTTTTGTAGTCAGTTTGTTTCAAAAGCGTACTTCAGCAGATTAAATCAAAATTGTGGAGCTGTCTGTCAAGAGGAATAACAGAATTGTGCATGGTCAAGAATAGTTTAGCAAGCTGTGTACACAAGAAGAGAATATAAATACATGTTATCTGTTATTGAGTTAATTTGATAACGGATGCATAAAAAGTTCTTTTTTTTTCTTACAGACTGACACCAGAGAGTTTACACTCTGCATTTACAAGTTTTTCCAACAGTTCTTATCCCTCATTTAGTCTGCCACAATTGCCTTTGAGTCTATTTCCTTCAGGAGAACCAGTGGGTGTTCGAGTAAGTCTGAATAGTGTCTGTGCGCTGTGTGAGTAGACACAAGTACAGGTGTTTTACAGATACTGTGCGTGTCCCAACAAGGTTTCTCTCAATTCTTAGAAGGGCCCATTCTCACAATGAGATTTAACTCAACATTGCTCTTTAACTAAATCTACAGATGCTGAGTTTAGATAAAAACCCATTTTCCTGGAATGGGAGAGGCAATATCAGTGGACTAATAGGCGCTCTGTCGCTCACAACACAAGACGGATCCGGTATCCCCGTGGAGAACTTAAGTGAAGATATCGAGGTCAGTACTGCATCTGAGGTTTTACTCAAAGATGTGATTACTTGTTTAGACCAAGCTCTCTGTGCAGACTGCAGGGACACATACCCTAGACCTAATTTTCAACTAAATGAAGAGATGACGTTTATAAACTAGGTCACTGTGAGAAAAACCTCCTCATCCTCTTTATTCAATAAAAAAATAATAAGTAAAAGATAGTCGATTTGTAGCTGATTCTTTTTTTTACCCAGTTAACCTTCTCTTATTTTATTAGAATACATCTGCATACATGCACTTTTTAAATTCATACAGTGTTGTTTTATTATTATTAAAAAAGGACCTGAGTCATCCAACAAAGTTGAGTCAGGTCATCTGGAAAGTTTCTTTTTTTGTTGAGACGTTTCATCCTTCACCCAAAGGACTTCATCAATCTGAAGAGTAACAAACAAACTCAGTCCCACACTCCCATAGTGGACCAACCAGTTTGCTGGTGATAAGATTGTTTCTTGAGCCTACCCCTCTCCCCCGTCAACTTCTCTGAGGCAGCCATAGCCAAAGTGGTTCACAACATCAAAGTTCATGATCAATAATCCAGGTAGAAAAATCCAGCAATGTTCAGTCCAACAAAGTTCAATCAGGCTCCTCAGGTTGATGAAGTCCTTTGGATGAAGGACGAAATGTCTCAACAAAAAAGAAACTGTCCAGATGACCTGACTGAACTTTGTTGGATTTTTTTTACCTGGATTATTGAGCATGGACTTTGAAGACCTGAGCCATGCAAGAAATGAAGGCATAAAGAGAATTGGGATGAAAATGTGCCTAAAATAAGAATATATTGCTGATACTGGTTTTCCTAGACACATTTTCTATATTTTGGTTTGTTACACAGATTCTGTTGCCAAGACCCAATGGAGAGCAAGTGAACACCTCTGTTTTGGATCTGGGGAACTACAGCACAACAGCCATAGATATCCCTTCAGCTGACAGTACCCTACTTTTAAAGGTCTGATCAACAGTTTCTGTGCTTGATGCTGAACCTGAATATGTCATGAATACTTCAACAAAACCAAGAGTGTCCATTTATACCAGTAGCTCTGGGATTCTCTACTACAATCCATAGCTCACCTCAAGATAAAAAGGTTGTGGGGATCATATAAGCATGTTCACCACTAGAGGATAGTTGTAGAAAATGAGAGCATATTCTATGTACATGAGAATGTACGTTTTCTATCAAGTCTGTACCTGATGGTTTTCTGCTTTGTTTGGCTAGAAATATATAAGATGCAAGATAAACAAACACAGATGTAGTTTACTGAAGATATCTGACCCAAAGTCACAAAATCCACAAAAATACAGTATATGTCAGCCAGCGCTTGTAGACTTCTTACCAAATTATTACTCCTGGTGACATAAATCATCTTTTTGAAATCAAACAACAAAATCAACTCAGGACATAAACGGTATATTTGTGAAAAATAATACTTTATGTGCTTTTATTTTATTCTATGCATCGCTAAAGCTATACTCTATCTGTACACTAATTTGTGTTTTGAAAGATGGTGCCTTCAGTGGATCCTTTACCCTTCAAGTTGTTCCTCGGTTATAAGAGTTACCCCACAGAGACAAATTATGTAGCGATGACAGAAATGCCTCAAAAGGGAACAACACTTGGTAACTTTTTTTTATATCTTTAATACTTTCCAAACAATGTTTTTCATTGATTATTTGTCTATATCTGGGAATATGTATTTGTGTGTGTGACACAGAGGAGCGATACACATGGATTCTCAATCCCACAAATTTAAAAGGAAATTCTGGAATCCATTATCTTGTGGTGAGGCCTATTGTGGGTCCAGGAATAAAATCTATCAATGCCACTTTATCAATTACCCCCATCACATCTTCGTGCAAATTTTGGAATGAAACACGACTGGACTGGAGCGATTATGGTTGCAAAGTAAGTACAGTAACATAATTAGCCTCTTATGTAATGATGCTTTAAATCTTTTATAACAGTAAAGATGATAATCTTTGAAGGTTGGTGTGAATTCCACACAATTGCTCACCCAGTGCTTCTGCAACCACCTCACGTTTTTTGGGAGCTCTTTCTTTGTGACTCCCAATCTCGTCGACCCGTCACGCACCGCTGAGCTTTTTGCAACCTTTGCTGAGAATCCTGTCGTAGTGTGCTTTGTCGGCGCGCTCTTCGTGACCTACCTGCTTGTGGTTGTGTGGGCACGCAGAAAAGACATTCAAGACACGGTCAAGGTAAAGTGTCTTTCCTTCCAGGACACTCCATCTTTTAAATCAAATGTCATCCTAAATCTGTTTCAAGTGCAATTTAGCAGCCTAAATTATTTTTGAGAGGCACAGATTTAAAACATTTAAAATTGGCTTTTAACATTTGTTCTTGCACATGTAAAATCACATTGCTGGTCCATTCAGGGTTACAACATCTGTTTTGACTACTAGTAGAAATAATATATATATATATATATATATATATATATATATATATATATGTTCAACTGGTAAAGAACTTTCCTTGAAGCCTGTACCTGAAAAACAATATAAATCGCAACCTGTCTATCTATTGCTAGCTAGCATGCTAGTGATAGATGGATAATTATATATTCTCATGAACAGGTAAAGGGGACAGTGCTTGAGGACAATGACCCTATCGACAGTTATCGCTATATGTTATGTGTCTGCACTGGACATCGTATAGGAGCCGCCACTTCTTCTCAGGTAAATATGCATGTTCCTTTTACCTCTGAGGTCAAAAATAATTTTCTAAAATGGGTTTTCAGTCGCAAGTCAAGAATTCAGGAGTTTCTGCTTGTTGGAAATGCAGCACGTAAGCCATTAACAGTATATTATGTGCTACTGATGTCTTTAAACACAGGTAAATTTTCATGAATAGTAGAAGTTGTGAAGTGTCTGCAACTTTAACATAACAAAAACTGACTAGAAAGCACATATATGATTTATTACTGAAGTTACCACCAATTGGAAAACAATGGGCAACCATGTTGCCTTGTGTGGTTGAGGCTAGTGAGAAGCCTCTGTTCTTCTAATGAAACGCTGTTTGTCAGAGTCAGAGTGCATGCATATTAAATAGTTGTGTACTTAAATAAAATTTTAATAATCTCCAAGGTGGTAAACAATAACCTGGACAGCTGTGATTCCTCTCACAGAGTTTATTAAACACATATTGACATAAATCTTACAAAAATCTACAATACTAAATTATTTAAATGAGCATTCTAGAAGGTCAATGTGGTCAGCAGAGCTATAATAAATGATATGCAAGTGTACATTGGCTGATATCTATACATCACACCAGCACATAGTGGATTGTTACAGTCTTAAAATGAATATGTCAACAACAGAGGAGATAATTTTAAAGAATGTGAAAGAGATGCTTCATCTTAAAGATAATATTATTCAGAAATGAAGTTGAGGACGGAATGTTTGATGCAAACGTTTGCGTTAAAACTACACCTCATTTCATTCTCCACAGCTCATCTTATGAATAAGCTCAGCTGCTGTTGCTTACATCTCAGGCCACCCACTCTGCTTATCAGCAGTCTTTTCATTTAGATGCCATTTGTAGAAAACAGCAAAGCATTTAAAAACTAAAGAGCAGCATTTCCATCAGGGGCTGGAGGAGATCTAAAACCCAAACAAAAGAGAAAACGTTGATTGAAATTTGGTGAGAAAATGAAAAAGGATGGCTTCTACTTTAGCATTAGACACTCACATTAGACATATAAATTCAGCTCCTACTAAAATGTGTTCATGTGATAATAAAAGTGATTAGCAATTAGAGTTTGGACATATACGTTTAGGTTTTGCCTTTTTACCACAGAACAATTGATAATTTTGTTTCATCACTTGTACCTTTCAGAGCACTATAGAATAAAAAAAGTTACTGTTTTGATTTTCAATTGATAAGGTCGTGCATGTAGTTCATGATGAAAATAATGCAAATGAAAATTTGCATCTTTATTTGTTTCGTTTTAGAAGTTTCCTTTTCAAAATCCAGTAATGTTGTTTCAGGTTATTGTCACTCTTCTGGGTGAACAAGGAAACAGTAAGCCCCACCACCTGACTGACCCAAAGAAGCCTCTGTTTGAGAGGGGTGCCGTGGATTTGTTTCTGCTAACTACACCCTACTCTTTGGGGGAGCTGGAGGGAATCAGACTATGGCACAACAACTCAGGAAGTCACCCTGCTTGGTACGAAACAAAAACTCTGAGTCAAAAACATATGATTTATGTACCTACTACTGCAGTCATTGCAATAACTAAACAGGGTGGGAGGACGTGGTTTGTATTACAGTTACACTAATCTGTAAAGTTAGTAAAGCATTTGAATAAAATACATTTAATAAAGCAGTAAATCATTTTGTTAACCTGGATATATAAAACTAGTAAAATCATATACAGTATCCGCAGCCCCTTTTATTAACTAGATTGAAGGTATCATAATAAAAATGTGTATTTTGCCCTCACCAGGTCATAAATCTAAGTCAATGTACATTTAAATAAATAATAACACATACAATGTTCTATTGACAAAATATGTATTAAACAAAACCAATCTAAACTGCAGAAGCAGAGTGTGGAAAAACTAGGACCACCAGTGCTGCTTCCATAGTATTCAAGAAGATAAATAGCAGCTGGGTGCTGCTAATAAAATATATTTTATGCATTTAATCGATCATCATCATCATCCATGAGAATGAGAGAAGAAGTGTCAACAGTTTGCTGCTCTTAAGCATTGATATATGTGTGAGCACAATACCAATCAGTGAAGATCTCAAAATAACAACTGTTGATGTCCGTCATTCTGGGAAGGGTTAAAGGTCATTTCCAAACATTTTGAAGTCCATCATTCCACAGTGAGGGATTATTCAAAAACAGAAAATGTTCAATGCAACTGCAATTGTTTCTGGGAGAGAATGTCCGGTCGCCCTGAATGTCACTCTGCCATGAGCAAAATTGATACTCTGTGAGTGGAGTTGAGCAGAAACTGCCAACCTCAGTGGACTGCCACTCCTTTAGTCCTACACTGGTTCAGCTTATTAAATTGATTATTCATTGTTTGTGCTGCTATCTTTACTTTAAATGGGACTAGACTTTTGCTTCTTTTTCAGGTTTGTTGGCAATATTGTGGTCCAGGATTTACAAACTGAACAGAAATGGTATTTCTTGTGCAATTCCTGGCTTGCGATAGACATGGGTGATTGCTGCCTCGATAAACTCTTTCCTGTTTCAACAGAAACGGAGCTGAAGAAATTCAGGTAAAGCAGATGAACAGTGGTAGTTTGCACAACAAATTGCATGATGGTATGGTGTAAAAAATACGTGTGAACATAAAGCATTTTTTATAATACAATATGAACTGACTTGTCACCCCAAGTACGAACCTTGTACTAACAAGAGACATACATGGTACTTATTGGTTATCGGGTATGTCTACTCTAGTACCGTACCAGTACACACTTGGCACATACCAAATAAGTAAATGGAAAGTACCCAGTGAAAACAGGGTATTAAGTCATTTCATGATACAGAACAGTACCCAAATGTATGAGGTACTTACCAGGTAATTATCAATTACAAACCAGGCTGTAGAATGTATTGCTACCTAAAGTGTGCCACACATATAACGTTTTGTTTGCCCTTCCCCATTTGACTTTTCACAAGGGATTTTTTAAATTGAATTTGAAGCAAGAATACACAACATCTGTTTAGGATCCACTTTAATTGACTATTTAAGCTTGAAGAGCCATCTGTCTGGCTACAGAATATTAAAAGTTTGCTAGTATCACAATACACTTTGAGGCGAACAAAAAGAACTGCAGTATTTTTTTTAACTTCTTTACTTAAATTCAAAAAAGTTCAAGACAACAAAACAACTGAACTTTATTTCTAACAAGACGTTTCACTTCTCATCCGAGGAGCTTTTTCAATTCAAAGAACAGAGAATGTGGAGTTCGAGTTATAATGCTGAGCTAAGTTAAGGCTCCAGCTCCGCAGGCAAGGGGAATTTACCTTCAGGACACTTTTAGTTTGCCGACTGGTCATTTGCTGACACGCCTACTGGATTGATTGAAAGATCGCAAAAAAAAGAAAAAGAGAGAGCTGGCAGCCCCAGTTGCAGAGGTGTTCTGTGTTCATATGTTAATACAAAGTTCTAAAAAAATTTGCAAAAAAAACAGGAAGGCCCTGCAGCCCATACATCACACCAGCCCACCAGGAAATCTCCAGACTCTCCTGCAGCCACGCTGGACCTGATTTTAATTAGCTTGTGACAAATTCCTTAATTTCTCACAATTTCAGTCATGCATCAGTGGAGGAGGAGGAAGAGATCTCTTGCCTCTTGGAAAAAAGGTCATTAAACCAGACCAGGGACGAAGAAGGGAAATTTAATACATTGGTGTTGCATACAGAACAGTCCAGAACAGAACATCGCCAGGCAGTTTATTGTGCGACACCGAGTACGCGTACACAGTCGTAAAAATGGATCTTTGCATGGGCATGCCCTGCGGGCGTCCGCTTCGACTCTAATCTGGTACACGCGGACCTCCGTGGACTGACGTACGCGCGAGTATACTGGAGGCTTTAGATACACATGCAGATTGTCCTGTCAATCCTCACAATAGTGGTTCGTTATGGTTTTTGTTTGTTTGACTCACAGAGGAGCCAATCTGGTGACATGGATGAAATTCCTGATAGGTGTGAAAATGACTGGGTATCAGGCCTAAAGCTGCATCACAAGTTTTTGAAAGTTGAAATCTGAGACCGCCTCTTTTTAAAGATGGTTTCTCTCGTTTTACAAAGTACATAAATAGCTTCCTTCACCCCCTCTCAAACCATCTGCCTTCTTGGTTTTCTTCTTTACTTATTTCTTTACTTAGTTTGTCTCATTAAAATTCAGCCTAAACACTGAGCTGATGGCTTTTCAAGGATTTCTGTCTTTTTCTTTAACCTCAAATGTCGCAAAGATGCAAGCATCTTTAGTAATAAAAAGAGATTCCGAATGCGATGGTGAATTTTCACTAATTGGGAGCTTTAAGGGGTTTAAAAGTTTAGGATTTAAAAAGGCTGCTTTCATCTTCCAGTAATTTGTTCTTCATGAAGACGGTAAAGGATTTCAATGATGGGCACCTCTGGTACTCTGTGATTAATCGACCACCAAGCAGCACCTTTACTTGTGTACAGAGGGTGTCTTGCTGTTTCTCCCTGCTGCTCTGCACCATGCTGACCAGCATCATGTTCTATGGGATCCCCACAGACCCCTCTGATCAGGTCATGGACTTGGGTAAGTCTGATTTTAATTACATTTGATAATATTTACAGAGGTTTTTTTTTCTAAACTGGTCTCACAAATCTATTTGCAGGTCACTTTCAATTTACCTGGCAGCAGTTTATGATTGGAGTCCAGAGTTCCCTCATTATGTTTCCAATAAACATCCTCATAGTTAGCATCTTCAGAAACACTCGTCCTCGGGAGACGCCTTGTTGTCAGAGTAAAACAAAGAAAACAAAAAGCCTTGAACATGAGAACACTTTACAGACCGTTTCCTTGCAGGCGGCTACAAACTCTAATGGAAAAACCAGTTTAGACAATATTATAAAGGTGGGTGCGCTGTGTTTTTGTGCACTAAAAATATTTGATTTTAGACAAAATATGAAATACCTCCTAAATTAGCTATTGCTCTCATATAATGTTGTGTTATACCACTTATAAATCTTAATGGTACATGTAAAAATTAATGCTGGAATAAAGTATTTAACCTTAAAGTGATACTATCTTGCTTAAAAACATGTTCTGCATAAAATATACAGTATGCATCAATGTGTAAATCTCATGAGTTTATAAACTGTCTATAGAAAACATTTAAAATATAAAATGTACACTAAACTGTACAATTTATTGGAAAATAAACAATTTAGTGGTAGCAAGGCATGTCAAAACAGCTGAGATAGGGACAACAAAAGGCTGTAGAAGTTGGTGGTATGAATAAGAAACAGCTGGAAGAGTATTTAGCAACTAAAAAGAGTGCCATTTCTACCATTTCCACTACCATTTCTTAGTTTAAATAACTGACTTTTATACTGTCTCAATTTGAATAAAATAGTTTAGGTTTACAAATCTATATATTGTGCTTTACTTACAGTTTATACAAAGTTTTAGAATTTGGTTGTAAATTACATGGTCTGTGTATAATTGTATATCTGTATATAAACAGAGTTTTGTTTTTAAAATTTTAGGATATCACTAGAATAGTCCATTCACTTTCTGAGACAGCAAAACGCAACATCCCCTTCACAGAGTCTGAGTTTGGATCTGGAAAAGGAACTGATATCAATGGAGTTCTGTCTGAGGTAGAAGACTTCCTCTATCAGAATTACAAAACCAGTGACGACATCCACTCAAAATCACAAGTTCAGCTACCAGGTGTGCTCTGCTATGCTGATGATGCTCTTACTGTACAAGTGAAAAGCAAGAGACAACTCGTTTCTTTCTCTGCTTTATTATACATACCATATTTTCTGACCTATAAGTCACTGTTTTTTTTTTTTTTTGTATAATTTGCATGCCATGCGACTTATACCGTGAAGCGACTTATTTATGCTTTTTTTTTTTTCTCCCATAGTTATAAACCAATTTGTGGCTGAGATATGACCATTAGTCATTCATTCTGACATTGAAAATATTGAACACTACCATTTTCAGTCAGTAGATGGTAATTGAGTTGTATGGCATGCCGTTGTGTCATGTAATAGGTAAACATGGCTATTAATGACACAATTACTACTTATCAAATATACATGTCTTTGTTGACTTTTAACTCTATCTACTTAAACTGATGTCTGTTCTACATTTAATGTCTACAGAAGTCTGTCTTATCCTGATGGTTTCAAACTGTTAACCTTTATTTATCGTGATAGTAGTTTATTTTTTTCTTTTAATGCAAATGCTTATTGTCAATTACCCTGTGACGTGTGCTGATGACCACTTGACCAGGTCACCCTTGTGAAAGAGATCTCGATCTCAACAGGCTCTACCTGGTAAAATAAAGGTGATTGATTGATTGATTGATTGATTGACAATTGGCTTGCCATATACTGCCACCTTTGTCCAGCTCTGGGATCATGCCTAGAGCAACCGTCAAATCAGCTGCATTTCGCTGCACCGCCCTCGCGAAATGCAGCTAATTTGACCATTGAAGTGCATTTTTAAGTAAAAGTTCAACTGACACACCTTTGCTATAATGTCGAGCAAACAAATAACTGTTTTTAGGTGGTTATCTTGTTAAATTTTGAAGAAATGCACAGCGAGTCCTCCCTCTGCCCACTCCCGCTTCTGTGATTCAGCTTTTGAAATACAGCTGATTTGACCATCAAAGTGCATTTATTAAGGAAAAGTTCAACTGAGACACACCTTTGCTATAATTTCGAGCGAACAAATAATTATTTTTAAGTGTTAATCTAGTTAAATTCTTGTTAAAATCTTCCCGTGCAGGCTCCTGCGACAGCAAATCGATTTTTGGCACAACACCGGCACACATTTCCGGGTTGTCAGCGGTGACGCGTAACAAATGCGACGTATCAGCGGTGACGCATAATAGACGCGACGTATACGGCGAAGCGATGTATTAATGTTTTTTCCCACTTTATTAGACATTCGGACTGATGCAACTTATACGACTGTGCAACGTGTACGGCGGAAAATACGATAATGGTTTTCTTAAAGACTACAATTTATGCAGCAGATAGAACTGGCAGTATCATTCTACTGACAAATAAGGGAATATAAATGTTCAATTTTGTACAAAATGATACATTTGTTTCAATCTGTCAAAACAGTATGAAGGTTGTGCTACTGCACTGTTAAAAGCAGTATTCATTTGTGTCCAGTGCCAACAGGGGAGGGAATTCAAAAGAAAAGCAACAAAATTCAGCATCTGTACGGGCAAATGTGTCACCTTGAAAAGGAGCTGACTCTTCTGGACCCCTCCTGCTTCTCCAAACCAGAGAGCGTCAGTCGGGCTCTGCAGCGAGTCCAGAGCATGAAGAGCTTCCTTGAAGATTATCTCTCAATAACCAGCCATGCAAACCAAACTGAACATGACAAGTACTTATTAAAAATTACCACACGTTCTTTATATAGAGTTTCAAGTTTTGATTCAATGCTGTCTACTTCCATTTGAGTTTGGGTGGACGGAGCTAACATTTGATGGTTTGGTGTATTCATATCCAACACATGTGATAATGTGTCTTTATAATTACTCTGCAGATGAGTTCACGTTCATATACAAAGCATTTTAAATGATCTTGAATAAATGCCATTCTTTAATTTTCCAATTCCAGGTCCAGGCCAGCAGATAAGTCTTTTGGAGACAATGGTCAGAAAAAGAGAGTGCGCCAACATGGAGTGCTACCCTGGTGGTTTGTCTTTGTTGGCTGGCTGTTAGTGATTGCAGCCAGTTTCATATCTGGGTATTTTACAATGCTTTATGGGTTGAAGTTTGGAAAAGAACGCTCCATAAGTTGGTTGGTATCCATGATAGTTTCCTTCTTTCAGAGTCTTCTCTTCATTCAGCCACTGAAGGTGAGAAGTACATTTCACCCACAGCAAGACTTTTTTTATTGTGTTTTAAAAGACTCAGTTTTGATTGATTTCTTAGAATTAAGACAATATGCCTTGCACTACAGGTGGTAGGTCTTGCTGTCTTCTTTGCATTGGTAATAAAGAAAGTTGATGAGGAAGACTTTCAAGATGTGACTTTTGAAAAAGTTGAAAGACGTCCAGGTGATGTCATACTACACCCAAAGTACATTTTCTGTTTTCCACAAGTTGTAAGAAATGAATAATAAGTTGTGCAGCAACATTTGCAGGTGAACAAAACAGCCAAACAACGAACAGATGGGCTGACTGTTTGTACGAGCCACCTCCACCTGCAGATATTGAGAAAATGAAAAGGAACAAGATCATGGAACAGAAGGCGTTTGCGCTCCTCACTGAGATCCTTAGTGAGTAAGAACGTGGACATTTTTATTGAATTTTATCATTGAGGATTTGTAAGTTTGTCACACTGTTACTAATTGAAGAGAGTCCATTATAAGTAAGGGGCTCATAAAACACATAAGAATGAACAGGTCTAGACTATTATTTTATTTTTCCTGCAGAGGTAAAAAAAAAAAAAGTGACATAAAAAGCATGTTTTTGTATTGTGATTTATTACTATGTGTTCCAGTCTACTTGGGCTTCATGTGGATGTTGCTGCTGGTTGCTTATAGCCAAAGAGATCCAAATGCATTTTACCTGAATCAACACATTAGGGATAGCTTCACTGGAAATATCCCAGACACCGTGAGCATTCAGGATGTTTTCACATGGGCCGGCACCTCTCTGTTCCAAAACCTGTTCGGAAAATATCCAGGTAAATACCCAACCCCCAAACAACAATTATTATAAGGATTCAAGGATTCAAGGTTCTTTATTTGTCATTCGCACCACATGTGGTACATGTGGTGGAACAAAATTGTGTACACAGGTCCCAGTTACAACTAACCTAACTAACTAAAGAGATGTTTTATCACACTGACACATCTTCTTTTTACATTTCCTGAATAAATATTTGATAAGATGTGTGTACCTGTTGGATAAACAGCTAAAGAAGCTTTGTACAGCTTTATGTTCATTTATTTATTTATTGACCTTTATTTAACCAGGCAAATCCCATTGAGATCACAGATCTATTTTGCAAGGGAGGCCTGGGCCTGAAGGCAGCCTAACATTCAGAGATTCAGAGAGATGTATTTGTCATTTGCATGTGGTACATGTGGTGGAATGAGATTATGTACACAGGGTCCCAGTTACATCCAACAATACATTGTAAAAGAAAAACAGTAATAAGATCTAAGATAAGAACTAATAAAAACATAACTAAATAATACACTAAGCACTAATAGCATAAAAACATTATGTCGAACATCAGCACGGACACGGACATGAGTCTGTGTGAGCAGATGAGCACGCATGAACACAGCAACATGAAACAGATCATCATCATCAACAACTTTATTCATAAAACGCTTCAACACAGCCACAGCTGAAACAAAGTGCTGAAGTTAAAAACAAGATAAAAGAGAGCACAAAAACAAAGCTACACAGCCAAGCACACAGTGAACTAAAAACTCAATTTAAAACACAATTAAACGATGAGTTAAACAGACTAAATCAATACCAATAAACATTAAGTAAAATCAAGTCTCAGTTGGGTTGAAGGCCAATGAGTAGAGATGATTTTTCAGACAGTTTTCAGGTCAGTAGCATGATGTGATTTTTCACAGTGATTATTCTGGTTAAAGATTCATGAATCTAACAGCCTCATGGTAGAAGTTGTTCCTCAGATTAGTGGCTCTGATGAGCATGCATGCATGCTTTTGGTCTGTGGGAGGAAACTGGAGTACCAGGAGAAAACCCACGCAAGCACGAGAATAACATGCAAACTCCACACAGAATGACCCCAAGTCCAACCGGGGATTGAACCCAGAACCTTCTTGCTGTGAGGCAACAGTGCAAACCACTGAACCGTTGTGCTTATCTCAAAGTTTACTTGATAAGAATTTATCTGAAAATATTTGTGTGCCTGAAAATTTTAATGGTGATTATAAAATCTGACTTCTTGATCTAAGCTTGTTGATTTCAACACAATCCTTTATCATATATATTCACACATATACACACATATATACACATACACACACACACATCTAT